CCTTATCCACTACACACCACAGCTCCTTCCTGCCACCTCAAGTAACTGCTAATAAACATTGTCTATCTCATGTAAGTGGGATCATACAATATTTGTACTTTTGTGACTGACTGATTTCACTTAGCATAATGTTTTCAAGGTTCATTAATGTCATAGGATGTGTTAGAACTTTATTTCTCTTTACAGCTGAGTATATTCCATTGTATAGCTAGACCATATTTTGGTTATTCATTCATCTGTTGATGGACACTTGGGTTGTTTCCACCTTTTGGCCATGGTGAATAGTGCTGCAATGAACATTGGTGTACAAATGTGTTTGCTTCCTTGTTCTCAAGTCTTTTGGGTATATACTTAGGAGTGGAATTGCTGGGGCCTATGATAATTCTGTGTTTAACTTTTTGAGAAACCCCCAAATATTTTTCCACAGCAGCTGTACTGTTACACATTCCCACCAACAATGATGAGGGTTCCAGTCTCTCTACATCCTTGACAGTACCTGTTATTTTCTGGTTTTTTTGTTTGTTTGTTTTCTGTTGGTCATAGCTATTCTCCTAGGGGTGAACTGTTATCTGTTGTGGTTTTGACTTGCATCCAGTGATGTCGAACATCCTTTCCTGTGCTTGTTGGCCATTTGTATGTCCCTTTTGGTGAAATGTCTATTCATGTTCTATGTTCATCTTCTGATTGGCTGATCTCTGTAATTTTTAATGGGACTCAGTAATTTTTGTAATAAAGGTAGTTATGGAGCCTGCAGACTGGACATAGTTAGGTCAAGTCACCCTTGACTGAAATTTCCACCTGTTTGAAAGAAGAGACATTCAGTTATGACTCAGGGAGAAATCTTAGGCATGTCCAGTATTAGAACTTGTTATGACTAAGAACTAGGCTTCAGAGTCTTGAAACCTTTTTCTTATATTCACTTCTTACTGTGTGCCCATGGAAATTGTCCTAAAAATAGCCACTGCTTCTCTGTGAAGCCAGAGGAGATTTCCTGTGTGACAGACCGACTGGCCAGAATTAGCAGCCCCTTTTCTTGAGTGTCAGCTTCCATCATTTCTCAGGTGGCTGCTGTTGCTGAGAGGAACATAGCCGGACGCCTTGCTTGTAAGTTCAGAAGACAGGTGATGGTAGGCCCCAGTGAAGGAGGGAGCAGGCTCTCTCAGTTCTGTGAGGACACATTTGGAGTTGTGTATGTATATGGCCTTCCCTCGGAGCTCTGGTAGCATAGTGCCTAAGGCACTTGACTGCTAACCAGAAGGCTGGTGGTTCAAATCCCCCAGCCACTCCTTGGAAGGAAGGTTGGGCCATCGACTTCCATAGTGATACCACCTTGGAAACCCAAGGAGGGGTCGCTGTGAGTTGGGTCTGCTCGATGGCACATAACAACAACAACAACATGGCCTTTCCTCAGCTAGGTGTTGGCAGTGGGGAAAAGGAGGGCAGAGTGAACACAAGGAGCAAAGTGGAGGCGTGTGGGTTGAGCCTCATCATTGGAACCTCATCCCTGCTGGAGGGAATGTGGAACAGCGTAGCTGCTGTGGCAACCATTTGCAAACCACACGTATTTTCGTGAGTTACTTCCAGCTCATGGTGACTCCATAGGTGTCACAATTGGGTTTTCAGTGGCTGGTTTTCCAGAAGTAGACCACCATGCCTTTCCTTTAGGTGCCTCTCTGGGTAGACTTGATCCACCAACCTTTTGGTGAGCTGCTGAAAGGTAACCATTTGCAACACCTGGAGACTCCTCATGTCTCTTCAGTCTCTTTTAATCTGGAAGATTCTTCAGCCTCGCAGTCTTTCATGACATTGGCCTTTGTGGAGAATGCAAGCTTTCTTTTTCCTTAAGTCAGATGTTCCCCATTTGGAGTCTCTGTTTTCCTCATGAGCAGATTTGGGTCATGGGTTCCTGGCTAGTTAAGTGGCCATGCTGGATCTTCTTAAGGGTACCACATCTGGAGACAGTGGTGTCTGTCTGCCCCCATGATGATGTTAGCTCTCATCATGAGTCATGGCCCTGATCAGTTTCTCTTTTCAATTGATAAGCAAACTATGAGAGCCATGTTGAGACCACACGATAGACTACTCCTCATCAAACTTTCCCTTAAAATTTACCATCAAATGATGATTCTTGCCTGAACAGTTCTTTTCTATGACGATTGTAAAATGGTGATTTTCTACCACGTTTGTTAGTTGGTCTTCAAGTGTAAAGAAGAACCCTCCCTTCTCCCCTGTTCACCCATCTCTTCATCCATCCATCTCTCCATTGACCTATTCATCCATGTGTCCACCCACCCATCCACCCATTCATCTACTTACCCACCTATGCATCCATCCATCCATTTATTCATACATTCATCCACCTGCCATCCATCTACCCACCCTTCCACCTGCCATCCATCTACCCACCCATCTACTTACCACCAATGAATCATCCATCCATCTATCCATCCAGCCACCCACCTATTCACCTGCTCATCTATCCATCTATCCTTCCATCATCAGTATAGACTCATGAGTTCTTATTTTATTCATCAAGTTATAATCCATAGCTGTTCTTACGTAGTTTGGTGCTCAAATTGTCCCAGATACGGCGAGTGAGAGCCTGTCTAGTTGCTATCAGTAACAATATGTAATTTTAAGTTTGTTTTTCAAATTAAGTTCAGTTTTAAATAGGTAGTTCTAAATATGTAAGGCAAATTCGTTTGCAGATAATTATAATAACTCAGATTTCAGGGGGAAATCCAGGTCCTTGGAGTAGAGGAGGCTGAGAAATGGTTTCTGTCTCCCTCGTTGGCCTATTGTACCTCTGTGCTATTGAATGACTAGGAGATTGAACATCTGCCTCATGGCATTATCCTGAAATTTCCCTTCTGTGTGTGGAAGAATTCCAGCTGGCGTATTTTGTGCTACATTTAGAACTGGACAGCAGCAAAGCCGGGCTCACATCCTGGGACCTGAGTTGAGAGTGCTATTGGCAGAGTCCAACGGAGAAGATGTCTTGTCCTCCCGTACTAGGAGTCTCCCAGAAGGTGGCTGCCACACATGGCCTGGCTGGCAGTGAGCAGAGAGACTAGGAAAAGCACTGCTTCCTGGAAGAATCACAATTGTTATTTCTCTTTCCTTTAGGTTGGCTCCCATCATCTGAGACTCAACAGAGGCCTAGAAGCCAACGCTCCTGCTTTCGACCGGTAAGGCTTGTTTGACAACAGAAGCCTGTGCTCTTTGGGGTCTTTATTCCATCACTCAGTCACACAGGAGACAGGAGGTCCCCCAGCCCTGAATCTAAACCTGCCTTTCCTTTTTATGCAAGAAGGGCCTTTACAATATGGGATTTGTACTTGATCTCAGCTTTCCCTAAAGGTTGTCCTAGCAAAGCACCTCTCTGTTAGAACTGAAAACAGAGTTTTATTGTGGGAAGTGTTCCACAAACCAGGAGACACTGTAACATCCCAGTGGGATGTCACAGCGTTCCATGTTGCAGGGAGAGCTGTGAGGTTGTCATTAGGTTGTAGGCACCAAGGGAAGACACAAGGAAAAGAGCTTCCAGGGGGTCTTCAAGCCACAAACTTCTTTAGCATTCATCTCTAACCTGACATTAACCTCTAACCTCCTGGAAGTTGTCTAAGACATTCTTTTTCACACTTGTTGTTGTTGTTGTTGTTATGTGCCGTCGAGTCGGCCCCGACTCATAGCGACCCCTCCATGGGTTTCCGAGGCAGTATCACTACGGAAGTAGGATTGCCCAACCTTCCTTCCGAGGAGTGGCTGGAATCCCAACCTTCCTTCCGAGGAGTGGCTGGAGGGTTTGAACCGCCAGCCGTCTGGTTAGCAGGCAAGTATCTTAGCCACTATGCTAGTAGAGCTCCCAGTCTATTTGTCAGCATTCTGGGAGCCGTTGAGCCAGTTTTCTGAGTGTTTGCTCCTCCCTCGTACTGTAAGATAAACTTTTTATTTTAAGGTACCTTTACAGATTTATAGAGAATCCGCAGAAATGGAGCAGAGGTCTCAGTGAGTGAATAAAATCTGATTTGAGAGAGGCAGTAAATTAGATTAAGTCTTGGTTAATAGGCTTTTACTTCATCTTGGTTACAGAGTTACAAGACAATTTCAGGGCTTCATGTTACTCAGCATTATTGATTCTATCTTCTGTCCTCACGTTGACCACAATATTTTTCTCTAGCACAAGCTGTGTAAACATTCTTGACAAATCTTTTTTTTTAATATATTTTATTGAAATATAATTTATGTATAGTGAAATACATAAAAATAAAGTGACATGGGTCAATGCATTTTTTTTTCACTGTTCCCTCCCACCCCTGGTAACCAACAAAGTTTCCTTCCATATATAAACCTTCCCTTGACTTTTTACAATAATGAACTAATACTATATTTGTCCTTCTGTGATTGACTTTTTTACTTGGCATAATGTCCTCCAAGTGCATCCATGTTATGTGGTGTTATGCAAATTGAACATTATTCTTTAGTGTTGCATAGTATTCCATTGTGTGTATGTATCATAGTTTGGTCATTCATTCTTCTGTTGATGAGCATGTAGGTTGTTTCCGTCTTTCTGCTGTTTGACAAATATCTTTTAACAGTTTCTAGCACAGCACACATACACAAAAACACACAAATCTTGATTCTTACTCCTTTTGTATTGAGCAGTTAAACTTTGACAAGAAGCTGAATTGCTTCTTCAGAGAAGCAATGAAGATTTCAGGCCTAGCTAAGCTTAATTTTAAAATGGAGTTTTGTCTAGATGTAGCCCAGCTATTCTTTTATTCATGTCAAGCACCTCGGGTTTTGGGGTCCACATACACCTCCATACACAAGGTTAATACATGTTCAGATAATACTTAGCAGTTGTTATATCTTATCAGTTCTTTCTTATAGTAAAGCTCCACCAGTTTGTCCTGGTCAACAGGAATAATGGGAGTGATAGGATGTAGAATATAGGTCTTTGTAGCTGTTCACAGTGCAAAGAAGTATAAAGTGAAAAATAGTCTAATTCCCAATTCCTACTTCTACAGATTATTACTATTGGTAGTTTTGTGGCATAGTGCCTAAGGCACTTGACTGCTAACCAGAAGGCTGGCAGTTCAAACCCACCAGCCACTCCTCAGAAGGAAGACTGGGCAATCTACTTCCCTAGTGATACTGCCTCGGAAACCCAAGGAGGGGTCGTTATGAGTGGGATCTGACTCAACACCAGTGAGTTTGAGTTATCATTCTAGAAAAAATATTGGCATATAGCGTTCAATTTTTAAAACACACATTGGAGCATAACAACATACTGTTTTGCAACTCAATCAAGAAAAGCCATTTAAGCCAAACTGTTGGTTACATGGATGTGAAATGGCTGATAACACCTTAAGACATTTGTTCTTTTAATTTAAATACTAAGGTGCTCTGGTGGCATAGTCCCTAAACTGCTAACCAGAAGACTGGTGGTTCAAACCCACCAGCCACACCTGGGAAGGAAGACTGAGCAATCTACTTCCATAGTGATACCACCTTGGAAACCCAAGGAAGTCGCCATGAGTCAGATCCAATTTAAATACTAATTTTTAAAAATTATCTTAGTGAATGTAATAACAGTTCTCAAAAGAAACTTTTAAAGTTTTTCAGCCTTCCTACCTAAAACATCACTTGTGCTTTCAATTCTTCTAGCCCCGCCTTTTTGGTTTCCCAGCGCTAGTGCCAGGAGCCCAGGGGACCCTAATTAGCATGCTAGTTAGTCAAAGCCCGGATAATGGGCTTTGACTGGAAAGCATTGTAATCCGTTGATGAAGATGCCTTTGCCTTTTCCCAGGTGCTGTTAATACGCTCCTGGAGAAAGGCAGAGGCATTTTCATGAGCATAGTTTAGTGCTTTCCAGTCAAAGCTCGTTAACTGCAGTGTGCTAATTAGGGCTTCCCAGAGTGTGTTCAGGAGCCCTGGTGGTACAGTGGCTAAGCGCTCAGCTGGTAACCGAAAGGTCAGCAGTTTGAACCCACCAACTGCACCTCCTCTTCAGGAGAAAGATGAAGCAGTCTGCCTCTGTAAAGATTCCAGACTTGGAAACCCTAGGGGGCATTTCTACTCTGTCCTGTGGGGGCGCTGTGAGTCAGAATCGACTCAATGGCAGTGGTTTTTCTGTTGTTTTTCTCACGAACACCTCCGAAGCTCTCTTGTCCCTTCGAAAGCTTGCTGAAATCCAGGGCTGAACTTAGATCTCTTCTAGAAATCACGGAACAACTTTCTGAGTCCTAGCTCCTTTCACAGGCAGCTGTTGTTTCGAATCTTGGCTGGCAGAAAGTCTCTTGTTCAGTGCTTTTTAACCATGAAGTCTGACAGGATCGTACCTGCCACATTCCCTGTGGGAGTCCTGTTTCCATGTTGGTTGTTTATTGTCCTCTCGGTCTTCCACTGTAACCGAAATACCCCAAGTGGCTGGCTTTAGAGAATAGGCAGTTGTTCTCTCGGCTCAGGAGGCTGGGAGTCTGAATTCAGGGCGTGGTTCTTGGGAAGGTCCTTCTTTCTCTCTTTGGGCTTCCCTAGCCAGCCATCTTTGGCGTTTCTGGACTTGTGGCTGCATCTGCCTGTGGCTTTGCAAAGTGTCTTCACGTTGATTCTGCTCTAAGATACCAGTTAGAAGGGATAAGGTTTAGGCCCCACCCTGCTCTGGTATGACCTCATTAATGTGGCAGAAGAAAACCCCAATTTCCAAGTGGGTCACGTTTACAGATTATTACAGGACTAGGACTTCAACATAACCTTCTGGGGGCCGCAGGTCAATCCATGACAACAATATTCCTCTCATTGTAGTGTGATAGTTGACAATGAGGGCATCAGTTTGTCTACTGCGACCCCTTCGAGGGCAGGGTGCCTTCTCCAGATTGGCAACACATTTTTTATGGATGTCTCAGATCTGCCTTTCTGGGGCATCAGATTTTATCAGTTCCTTGATGTGTTTGGTCCAGGGTCAATCCTTCCTTCCACTCCCTTCCCCTACCCTCAGAACAACTTTAGCAAGGATAATTTTAATACTCTCAGAATGCTGCTTTTCTTTGTCAGTGCTGCCTTGGCATGGTCCCCTGTTGATCTGGGTTACAATTGTTCCCTTGTCTACATGTCTGAAGGAAGGGGCTGTGTTGAGCGGGCCTTTGCTGTGTAGTCTCATATCACAGCATGGCTATGCGTTTTGAACATACTGTCTTTCTATTAGTGGACCTTCTCTCACTTGGCGTGTACGGCCTGTCATCAGGAACCCTGTTAGGGAGACCAGTTTGTGTTTCTCTGTCGAAACTTCCAGCCAGGCCCTGAAAATGAGCAGGATGCTTCCATGTGCAAACCTGACTCCCGAGTGTCCTGAAAAATGCCAGGGTTTTCCAAGTAGCTTCATGTAACAGTGGCCGATGGGCAGGGAGAGTGACCCACTGCCGCTGAGTCGATTCCAACTCATCGCAAACCCCTAAGACAGAGGAGAACTGCCTCCTGGGGTTTCCAAGGCTGTAAGTTTTAATGCACGCAGACTGCCACATCTTCCTCCCACTCAGTGACTGGTGGGTTTGAACCGCCAGCCTTTTGGCATTAATAGCTGAGTGCTTAGCCACTGTACTGCTATGGTTTCTTAGAGAGAGAGTGAAAAAGAACCTAAACTCAGAGCTGTGCCAGGACGTCTCTGCCGTTGCAGGAAGTTTCCACTTGTACGACCTTGGTGTGGGCTCCTAGACTCTTTCCGTAAAGCCCTGGAGTCAGTGGAAGGAGTCTCTCAATTTATCAATAATAAGTGTATTCTTATTTTTAGATTAAAAGGAAGGTGTATTAGTTTCCTAGGACTGCCTTAACAAAGTACCACAAAATGTGGGGCTTAAAACAACAGAGGTTTATTGTGGCATGGTTCTGGAGGTCAGAGTCCAAAACCAAGGTGTCCTGGTCGTTGGGACCATGCTGTCTTTGTCTGTATTAGGGGAGCTCCTTCTTCTCTCTCCCGGCTTCTGGTAGCCCCAGACGGTCCTTGACTTGCAGCTGCAATGTAACTCCTTGGTCACATAGCTGTTTTTCCGCTGTCCCTCTGCTCCCCTCTTCTAAAAAGATACCACGTAGATGGGATCAGAACCCACCCTACTCCAGCATGACCTCATGTTAGCTTAACTGAGAACATCTGCCAAGACCCCATTTCCAAACAAGCTCACGCTCACAGGTACTGGGGTTAGAACTTGAATATATCTTTTTAGGGGGCACAGTTCAGTCTCTAACAGAAGGAAAGAGCCGACTCCCACACCCATGCACTGGACAGCCCCACGCTGTGCACTGGGTGGTTGCTTATGCACCGTGTTGACTTCTCGTAAATATTCTTTTCAGACGCAGCGTGAGCCTTATTTTACAGATGCAGAAACTAGCTCAGAGAAGATGAACAATTTGAGCAGGAACGTTTGGGCTTGGTGATGGGCTGTTGTTAGGTGTTCGTGAGTGGTGCTCACTCAGCACCCCCGTGGCTGACAGTGTCCCCATGGGTTACAGGTAGAACTTCCCCACAGGGTTTGCTAGCACATCACCAGGTCTTCCCCCCTGTGCACCTGGGTAGGTTCAAACCACCAACTTTTGAGCACTTAACCATTGTGCCACCAGGGCTCCTGTGATAGGCTAAAGGCCATAAATGATAAGTTATGTTGTTTCCCTCCCAGCCCTGGAGTTTGAACCTGTTGACAAGAAGCCAGAGCAGGGTGCAGACCCCAGCCTTGTTTCTGATGAGTGACCTCAGAGGGGTGGCCTCTGTGTGTCTACAGTGGGCTGCTTCACATTTCAGTCCAAAATTAAAGTTACTCACCCTGTGACTGGCAGAGCTGGGCAACCCAGGCCTCTCCACTCAGAGAGCGTCTGCTCTGGAGCGCCACCTGCTGGAGCTCAGGCCAGATCCGAAGAGAGGCCAGGAGGGGCCTCGCCCAGCCATTATTTCTTCTCCCTTTCACCCAAGGCTGCCTCATGACTCTGGGCTTGATGTCAGCAGTCTGATAAAGCCAGGGCCCCCACTGCCCCAGGGAGTGACTTCAAGCTGGCCAAATCCCCCCATAGAGACCCAGGGGGCTCCACTCACCGTTGATGAAGTCAGCCCACCCCACTCGATTCTAACTCATTGCAAGCCTGGAGGACAGAGAACTGCCCCATAGATTTCCAAGGCAACCAGTCTTTACAGAGCAGACTGCCTCTTTTTCCTGTGGAGCAGCTGGTAGGTTCAAACCACTGAGCCTTTGGTTAGCAGCCAAATGCCTTAACCACTGCATTACCAGAGCTCCTTGTTGAAGTCAGCAGAGGAACCTAAACTCAGACTTAAAAAAAAAAAAAAAAATCACTACCATAACTGCCACAGACTGAATTCCGACTCATAGTGACCCCCTTTGGGTTTCTGAGATGGTAAATCTTTATGGAAGTAGATTGCCCAGTCTTCTTCTGCAGAGTGGCTGGTGGGTTTGAACCACCAACCTTCTGGTTAGCAGTCAAATGCTTTAGGCACTGCGCCACCAGAGCTCCAAACCAAAAAGCAAATTTAGACTACCCACTTCAAATCCACATGCTCTCTACTACACAGTGCTATTCCTCATTCTTTGGAAGAAAATACATTTTGATAAAAGAGTTCTTTTTTGATAATTAATATTTTTAAATTGATTTTATGAAAGAAACATGTTAACCTTGCAAACGTTATTCAAAGTGAAATAAGTCAGTCACAAGAGAGCAAGTAACAAATGATCTTGTTAATACGAAGTAGGCAGCTCTAGAGACCAAAGTGGTTGCAGGGGTGGGAGGAGCCCTGGTGGTACAGTGGTTAACTGCTCAACTGCTAACTAAAGGTTGGCGGTCAAACCCACTAACTGCTTCGCAGGAGAAAGATGAAGCAATTGGCTTCTGTAAAGATGACAGCCTTGGAAACCCTATAGGGCAGTTCCACTCTGTCCTCTAGGGGCACTGTGAGTTGGAATTGACTCCATGGCAGTGGGTTTGGTTTGGGCTTTGTTTCTGTAAAGATGACAGCCTTGGAAACCCTACGGGGCAGCTCTACTTAGTCCTGCGGGATCACTGTGAGTCAGAATGGACTCCAAGGCAATGGGTAATGGGTGGATAGCAGTGGGAGGGAGAAGGGAAGGGGAGGTCGTTGATTAGGGGACTGCATTTCTGTTAATGGGGGTGGTGGTTGTTGTTGTTATGTGCCGTCGAGTCGGCCGGCCCCGACTCATAGCGACCCCTCCTTGGGTTTCCGAGGCAGTATCACTACGGAAGTAGGATTGCCCAACCTTCCTTCCGAGGAGTGGCTGGTGGGTTTGAACCGCCAGCCGTCTGGTTAGCAGGCAAGTGTCTTAGCCACTATGCTACCAGGAGTGATGTGGAAATGGATAGTGCTGATGGTTGGGTAACATGATGAACACAATCAGTATCACTGAACTGAGCATGTAAAATGATCAAATTGGCAAACATTTGGTTGTATGTATTTTTACCATAATAAAAAAAGAAATATGGTCATTGTAGATGCTTGAAAAATACAAAATGTTTAAGAAAGAACATTTTTTGAAATCATAAAATTTCTCCACTTTTAACACTGTGGTATATTTCCTTCCAATCTTTTTCTGTCTTTAGGCTTTATTAAATTACAGTTTTACATCAGCTATTTTGTATTCTATCTTGAAGTATTTCCCTATGTTAAAAAAAAATTACTTTTAAATGTTTCTAATATTATTAAGATTGTCAGGTGACTTCAGAAAAGCTGTGGATGAAGGAATCTGTCCCTAAAACATCAGCCTGATAAGTATTTTAGAAACACTCTGATAGATGAGTATTTTCTAAAAGTTTTGTTGTTACACCTTCTTTCTTTTTAAAATTGTGGTAAAATGTGTGTGATGAAACATTAGCCATTTCAACCGTTCTTAGTGTACAGTTCATTGACGTTAATTCATGTGGTGGACAGTGGTCCCCAGCATCTCTTTCCAAAAGCTCTGCATCATCTCACACGGAGACTCAGTGGCCCTGATGCAGTAACTCTACATTCCCCACTCCTCCCAGCCTCTGCTCACCACGAATACGCTTGTCTCAGCACTTGCCTGTTCTAGATGGTTCATGTAAGTGGGCTCATCTGGTGTTTGTTCTTTTGTGACGGGCTCATTTCACACAGCATCATGTTTTCAAGGTTCATCCGCATTGTAGCATGCATCAGGATTTCACTTCTCTCTGTGGCTGAACAGTATTCCATTGTCTGTATTATGCCACATTGTGCATCTCCATTCATCTCTTGGTGGACGCTTGGGTTGTTTCCACCTCTTGGCTTTGTGAATAACACTACAGTGAACACTGGGGTACATGTAATGATTCGTGTCCCCGCTTCCAAGTCTTTGTGGTGTAGACCTGGGAGTGGAATTGCTGGGTCAGGTGGTAACTCTGTGTTTAACTGTTTGAGAAACTACGCAGTGTTTCACACAGAGTCCACACCATTTTCCATTCCCACAGCAATGCACGAGGGTTCTAGTTTTTCTGCATCCTTGCCAGCACTTGGTACTTGCTGTTTTCTTCCTGATAATAGCCATCCTAGCTAGTGGGTGAGATGTGGTGTTGCACCATCTTGTTGTGGTTGAACACAATGAAATGCAGCACTTCGATGACAAACTGGACTCTGAGGTTGACACCTCTTCTACTGGTTGTTCCAGGTTTGGGAAGGATGGGTGCCAGGTAAAGTAGGAGGTTAATTTCAGAGATACACATGTCACATTTAAAGGGAAGATTGGGCAATCTACTTCTGTAGAGATACTGCCTTGGAAACCCAAGGAGGGGTCTTTATGAGTCGGGTCTGAGTCAACAGCAGTGAGTTTGGCTTTTTTTGTTGTTGTTGTTTTTGTTTAATTAAGGTCCACTTGGTTCTTCATGTAAAGTCCGGCATGCCATTCATCCAATGTCAGCGTTGTGTGGAAGTCAGATGTGCTGGGGGTTGCTCTTGGCCCTACCTTTAATCGACATCCTGTTGGCACTCTGCTGCTGACAGCAGGTCATGAGCCGAGGGTGGCTGGCGGAGATGGGTTTCTACTGCTCCTGGGCCCATCACTGGGGAATGGCTCGTGCTGGCTCTCTAGTGCTGACGAGGCCCCAGTCCCCTCTGCACCCTCCCCAGGGGTGAGGCAGGCGGCCGTCTGGAGTCCCTGGTGACATGACTGTGTGGCCCTGTCATTACAGGCACCTGGCACTTCTGAAGGAGCGGTATGGGAAACAGGTGGTTGTGAACCTGCTGGGGAACCGCGGTGGAGAGGAGGTGCTCAGCCGAGCCTTCAAGGTAGCGTCTGTCCGCCCCTCAGCCCATCTGTCTGTCCCTGGCTGCTCCTACAGGACTGAGGCAGGAGCGGGTGGGCTCCAGGGGCGGGCCTGAGGAAGCACTGCCGCCCAGCTCTTGCCCTTGTCCTGCGAGCGCTCCAGCCAGTCAACACCGCAGCGTCAGGAGATCTGGAACCCCCGACGTCTTTAGTTCCATTTTTATGAAGTGATGGTGGGAAGGAGCTGCTCAAAGTTGAAACAAAGCATCCCCACGTCCAGCTGCGAGGGGCCTTCAGGTTCCTGGCTGCCACCCCACGGTTCTCTGGAGAGTTTCTTTTCAGCACAGTAGGGGGCTCTGCAGGCCCCTCACCTCCTGGGAGCCCCATGTCCCCCTCTCGGGACAGGTCCATGCGAACTCCTGCCAGGATGTTCGTGCCTGAGCCTCTGTGCTAGAAACCAAGAGGTTCCCATATTTTCCTCCTGCTTCCATGGCAGCCTCGAACACTTCATTTCCCTGGGGCTGTGGGGAAAGCCACTCTCTGCACAGGCCCTGGGGACCCCCTACGTCTCTCTTGGGCGCTGCAGGGCAGGTGTGGAAAGAAACCTCACAGGGCAGGGACAGGTGCCGGTTCCATGGTACCTGCTTCCCAGGTGCCCCGTCTCCCCTCCTTCAGAGCAATCCGCACAGTGAGCTGTGCTCCTCTGTTTTGAGTCCTAGCCCGCCACGGGCCCTGCTTGGCAGAGCACGCGCTCTGTTTTTGGTATTACTGTGCCGGACACCTCTGTAACGAAATGTTTGCCCTGTCAATGCTTCACAGGTGCAACTCTGTGGCATTTATTTATGTTCACCATGTAACTCAGGGGCCCCACAGCAATGAGCTCCCCTCTCCCGCTCCCTCCTGCCCACCCCTGGTCGCACTCATGGACTGGAGTCTCTAGCTGTCCTCTGGGTGTTTGAAGCTCTGGTGGGTTGACCTTGTAGGCAGACCTCCCCTCAGCAGGAGGGAGGGCAGACCTCAGCCTTGGCTGCCTGACCCTCTGGCAGGCCCCGGCCAGCGGTGTGCTGTGGCACTGCTTAGACAGCTACATCTCAGAGGCAGGCTTGGTCACAGGCTTTGTTTGGCCGGACCGGCTTTCCTTCTGGGCTGTTGTCATTAGCAACAAGCCCAGGAGTGTTTCCCTTCTACTCATCTTGGTGGGGACGCTGCCTTCTTATTTTAAGGAAAAAAACAACAACAAGGAATAGTAGGTTTAAGAAACCCAAACCTATATCCACTGCCATTGAGTTCATTCCGACTCCTAGCGTTCCTGTAGGACAGAGTCAAACTGCTCCAGTGGGTTTCCAAGCCTGTCAATCTTTATGGAAGCAGACTGCCTCCTCTTCCTCCCACAGAGCAACTGATGGCTTGGAACCGCCAACCTTTTTGGTTAGCAGCCAAATGCCTTAACACCACCAGAGCTCCTTCCAAACTTATAAGAAGTCAAGAAATAAAGTGTCAGTTTATTAAAAAAAAAAAAAAGAAGAAGAACCACCACCCAAGGTGCTGCCCCCTGTAGACCTTGAGTTGTAGGAAGAGGACACCTTCAGCCCTACCTCCTGGTACAGGGGGACTTTCTCCTGAGGGCTGCAGGCCCTCGCTGTGCGGGGTGCTAGTGGTCTCTGCATGTCATATGTGTGTGTCTGTGTGTGTGTATGTGTGTATGTGTGTGTGTGTGTGTGTGTGAGGCCCTGGGGGTGAGGGCAGGTCCCAGGCCAGCTGTAGGTGAGAGGCAACACACATTAACAATGCTGTGTCAGAACTCAGGAGACCTGGGCTCTGCCTGCCTGGATGTCCCCGAGCCTCAGCTGCCTGTGACAGATGACCTCGGAAGGTTCTCGAGTGTGTTAGGGCTGCTCAGAGTGTGGTCGGTGGCCCAGTGTTCTCAGTCGATAAGGCGTCTGATCTGGAGTGTCCATCAGCCATGCCACCCCCACACTGACTTAGTCCAGCTGACTTCTTCCTGGCAAGACTTTCTTGATGAAGGAAGCCATGTGGTGGTCCACCTTCTGGCATGCCAGTGACAGCACTTGGAGTAGGACCAGACCAGATCACCTGCAGTCCTTTTCATCCTTAAAGATCATTAGCGCCTCCGGTGGGCAGATACACAAAGTGGGGTGGGGTGGGGCGGGGCTGTGTGTCCTTGGCCATGAGGCTGGCGAGAAACCTGAGGCATTGCCAGGCCACAGAACCCTCATGTGTGAAGAGAGGCAGCTACAAGGAGGGTCCTGGAGCCACCGAGGGACCACACCCTGGACTCGCCTATCTCTGTCCCACCTTCAGCTCATGTGCTTGGCCTGGCTGAGGCGGTCCCTACGGAGCCTAGCCCCCCATTTCCTTCAGCTGGGCCACACATCCTGCACCCATCCAGAGGCCCCAGCTGACAACCTGGCCACATCCGCCAGACACTTGTTCTTCAGCCAGGATGTGGCCAGTTACCAGGGCAACTGTGAGCTGGATTATGAGCTGCACAGCCTGCTGTGATGCTGCTGGCTGGTGCCTGTGGCACTGAGTTCTGTGAGAGCAGAGTGAGCCTCCCGTCTCTGCCTCCCGAGAGCCCTGTGGGCTGTGATGTCTGCCGGAGCCCCCTCGGCCTTGGCTTGCTTTGGCCCAGGGTGGGCCTACTGCTCCTCTGCAGGCAGGGGGCCCCTTGTAGTTTTGCCCCCATGTGTCTGTCCTGGGCGTCCCTGTTAGGATCGGGAAACATGCCCAACTCGATGACCCCTAAGCACTAGAAGGAAGCACGCGTGCTCCAGCAAGCAACACAGTGTTTGTGGGGCGAAGCGGGCCTCATCTTCTTCCCTCCCCCTCCCCCTCTTTGCAGAAGTTGCTCTGGGCTTCCTGTCACGGCAGTGACACACCTATGATAAATTTTGACTTCCACCAATTTGCCAAAGGCGGGAAGCTAGAGAAGTTGGAAAACCTGTTGAGGCCCCAGTTGAAGCTGCACTGGGAGGAGTTTGGCGTGTTCACGAAGGGCGAGAATGTGAGTCCACGGTGAGTCGCCTCCAGGGGCCCCTCCAGGGGCCGCCTGGTCCTGTTGGCCGCGCTCTCCCGGCCCCGCCCCTCTTCAAAGACACACTCCTTCTTGCTTCGTAGCTACACCCGTGGTGTCCTGGGCCGTCCACTCCATGACGTTGGGTATTTGGGTCCCACTGCCTGTTTTCCCTTCCCCACAATCAGAAACATGCTTTTTGATTTTGCAAGAAGTGGATAAAGGATGGTTTTCTAGCAAAAGAAGTGTGTTAAGAAAGGGACCCACTGAATGTAGAGGCCCCCCTCCTGGGCTGATTCTGACTCATGGAGACCCCACATGTCAGTCGGACTGTGGTTGGTTCTCTGGAAACAGACTGCCAGGTCGGTCTTCCAGGTGCCTCAGGATAGACTGAACCCTTCACCTTTTGGTCAGCAGCCAAGCATGTTAACTGTTGGCACTGCCCAGTCTAGAGCCAGCATAACTGTGTAACTTGGCAGCTTACCTGAGGTACTTGGGAGAGCACACAGTGCTGCTGACCGCTACCCTAGGACAGCTGGCGTGAGCTTGGTTGCCCCGGGACACAGGCAGCTGCTGCCCGCTCAGAGCCGAGGAGGAGAAGGTCTGTGCCCCGGGATCAGCACTCACAGTGACAAGTGTGTAGGCTGCCGGGGTCAGACCAGCTCTGCCCTCTTCCCAGCAACCTTGCACCCGTTGGGCACGTCGTGGGGGATCTAATGACTATTTGGGCTGGGGGCAGGGTTGCTCTTGGGTCCGTCCCCTTGGGAGCAGTTAAACCCGCTCCATCATGCCACCTCTGCCCCTTCAGGCTCAGGTTATAACCTGGTCTCTTGCTGCCCTCCTAGCTCTCAAAAAGGCACCCTGCGTATGAACTGTCTTGACTGCCTGGACCGGACCAACACCGTACAGTGCTTCATAGCCCTTGAGGTCAGTGTTCGCCTCGGCCATTGCGCCAGTGGGGCCCCTCTAACAGCAGGAGGGGATGTCACTAGGTCAGCTCGGACTCTGAGGGAGGGGACCCGGCTGCACTGAGGTCTCTGGGCAGCTGGTTGCCCCACCCACAGCATGACTATGTCCTGGATGTGGCAGCCCGGTGGTGCCATATGCCCCCTTGGGAGAAAGGAGTCCCTGGGATGATGACTGTGAATATGTCTCTGGGCAGAGTCAGGCAGGCCGCCTCAGAGGGTGGCTGAGTGAGACCCCGGAGGGAGTCTGAAGACCGGGGTCTGTGTGTGGTCTGGTTGACCTCTCCTGGCTCATGCTTGGAGGAGAGAGGCGGGTCAGTGCTGCTTGCTATCCAGGCCTCCTCCTGTGGTGCTGGTGAGGTCAGGCCAGGGGTCAGAGGTCAGAGGTGGACTGAGTGGAGCACATAAATAAGGTTAGGGTGAGAAGTCGTGGACATGTTCTCTGTGACCAGAACCCCTCTTGTTCTGAAAAACCAAACCCACTGCTGTTGAGTCGATTCTGACTCATAGCGACCCCCTTTGGGTTTCTGAGGAGGTAAAGCTTTACGGAAGTAGACTGCCCAGTCTTCCTTCTGTGGAGTGGCTGGTGGGTTTGAACCACCAACTTTCTGGTTAGCAGTCAAATGCCTTAGGCACTGCGCCACCAGAGCTCCTTTATAAATGACTGTCCAGAAACACATATCTTGCTTTGGGCAGTGTAGCTTTCCAGGGCCTGGAGCAGCCCACAGTGTGCTGAAATAAACAGCTTAGGAGGATGACCCCTGGTGGTGGTCACTTCAAGGCCAGGGGGCTGCTGGAGGCTGTGGAAATCCTTGGTGACACCTGGTGTTTCTCGCCCAGGTCCTCCATCTGCAGCTCGAGAGCCTGGGGCTGCATTCCAAGCCCATCGTTGACCGCTTCGCGGAGGCCTTCAAAGCCATGTGGTCCCTGAATGGGCACAGCCTGAGCAAAGTGTTCACAGGCAGCCGCGCCCTGGAAGGGAAGGCCAAGGTAAGAATGGTGAGGGAGGGAGGGCAGAGTCCCACAGCGAGTCCCTCTCATGGCCTTGCTCCCGGCCCACGGCAGGTGGGGAAGCTGAAGGACGGCGCTCGGTCTGTGTCACGTACCATCCAGTCCAACTTCTTCGATGGGGTGAAGCAGGAGGCCATCAAGCTTCTGCTGGTTGGGGACGTCTACAGTGAAGAGTCGGCTGACAAAGGCAGGATGCTCATGGACAACACAGCCCTTCCGGGTAAGAGGGCCCTCCGCTTGCGTGGAGTGACTGGTGTAGGGAGGTCCCAGCCAGCCCATGTTCTCCCCCTCCTCATGTAATCCAAGATGGTGGATGGTAGCCACTCCCTTCTGGTGTAGGGCAGAGTGGGAAGCTTCTGCTCTCTGGACCTCTGGCCTCTGACTTCTGCTTCATCCATCTCGCGCTCTGACCAGCTTACCTGAGCAGCTCACAGCTATTGCCGTATATCCTGGGTGTTCTAGTTTCCAAATAGATTATATCACAGGTATAGGGGTCAGGACTCCAACATCTGTTCTGGGGGGACAAAGGTCATCCATAATGCCGGGAGTCTGTGCTTTTTGGCCCAGTGTCGGGTCAACCCTTCTACTTTCTTGGCCTTGCTGTTTGAGAGGAGGGGGGAACCAAGGGGACTCCAAACAAGTCCGTGCACTGTTGTTAAGTGTTGATTTCTTTCAGTGTTTACCTGTTCTAGAAACCTTCTCAGGTGGAATGAGCTCTTGGTCCCATGGGCAGGTACCATCTGTCTTGGGAAGTTTCCCACCATGAAGATGGCCTGCTGTTTCTGCCATGGCTTCTGAGGAGCTTATAGAAACAGAGGGAGGAGGAAAAAGATACTGTTGTCTCCTGGTGACGAGGCCACCTTCCATCCTCAGGGGCAAGACCGTCATGTTTCTGTCTTCAGTATCTAGATGTTTCCTTGGGGATATTTTAGTGGCATCTTTTTTTTTTAGATTTTTTTTGTAATTTTATGTGTATTGGGTGAAGGTTATAGACCAAATTCATCTTCCATATAGAAGCTCACATGCACTTTGTCTTATGATATTGATTGTAATCTCCCACAATGTAACAGCTCTCCTCTCACTTACTCCCCATAGTCACCTCTTCCCTGTGTCCTTCCTTCTCATGTACTCTTTGCCCCACGACCTGTCTCCCTGTGCATACATAGCCCTTCTATTCACCCATGACTGATCCCTCCAAGGAGTGTATCTACCTAATGTAAATGTTCAGCTCATCTGCCCATTTTTTGTTTGGCTGGCAGCCACCAGAGTGGGTTCAATTCCAGACCTGAAGGGCAGCTAG